ATTTGGGGATGTCGGATATCTCCACGGGTGCTAGTTTGTGTTTTCCCCTGTTTGTTTACCAATATGGAAATAACTGCGAATTCAAAAAATACATTGCATTTGTATGTGTCAACGTGTATTTATTCACTGTAACGATGTACAATCTTGACCGCTGTCTGGTCTTTGTATTAGGTATGAAATATTATAGGTACGTGAAGAAAACGCGATTGGTTTGTCTTTGCGTGATATTTTGGTTTATCGGAGTATTGACGGCATACCTCATGTTTTACAGCGAAGAAGACCCCTATAAAATTGGCTGTTCATTCATGTACGAATTGAAGAAGAACTACATCAGCCAAGGCACTAAATATCTTCTTTTGTCCACCATATTCTCCAACGTCGTTATGTACATTTTCTTGCTCCAACATATTCGTAAAATCACGCGAAAGACTGGAGAAATGTCATCTGCTACCTCTGGAATCACAGACGAACAATCTCGAATCGCCAAGAAAATTTCAGTCATAACGATTACATTTTTGGTCATTGCCACACCTTTCTATGTCACTCTTACCTTCCCCATCCTGGATTACAGTACTCCCTTTGGAAAAGCCGCCCATTCAGCATGCGGGATATTATTGTGCCTGAATAGTGCAATGAATCCAGTGTTTTATATTTGGAGAATGACTGAACCCCGTTATCACCTCAAACTATTAATCATGTTTTGGAATAGGGCATACTGCGACAAGTTGACACAAGAGTACAATTTGAATGCTGCCTCTTACAATATGACTAGTTCTTCTGCATCAAAATGAAAAGTTCTTTAGCAAAATTTTAAGGTATGTCACTCCAGACATTATGTTATAATTGTGTTCGATTATTTTCTTGAAAGTTATCCTTACCAAACTCTTTTCGAAAGTTGACGAGTGACATACCTTAAAAGGAGTTATAAGATAAATGTACTTTTAGTATTGTCAGTGTTATTTAAGTACTGTAAATGTAGAATATCTAACGTGTATGATATAATTATGTGGAGGAAAATATACTTCAATGTTAAGTTAGTGTAGATTTGATTTAGTGCATTTCTGAATGTTGTAAATATAAAATGATGCATATAAAACGATAAACGAAAGCGCTCTCTGCCTACGGTGCTAATTAGTATACACTTCAAATGTTATACGTTTACAGTAGTACTTAGTATTGTGTTGGTCAGTTGAATACTATTATTGGGGTGGATAATTACCTTCTATAGAATAGATTGTGTTGATCAGTTACTTCTAAATATTGATTGTCGTATACAGTGGCACCGCGTTTATCCGGACGCCATTTATCCGGACGCTTCACCATCCGGACGATATTTTTTAGGGACCGATTTTTTCCACGTTATTTTGTCTCATTAATCCGGAAATTCGCGTTCCGTATCCGGACGGTCAATTTCTACTACAAAACATAATAGTTCATTGAAAAATGACTCGTTTATCCGGACGGTAATTTTTCAAAAACGACATTTTCACACTTATCTTGCATTCGTGTTAATTGTTGTAAAAACATTGGCCATGCAGTCAGTTTGAAGGCGGTTACCTGTGACCTACAAACAATAGCGTCTATAATTAGCGTGTGTTTACCCCAATTCAATCACACGTTTATCTTTATTATGAAGCTCAAAGAATTTAGCTGACACTGTGCATTAATTAAATAATAATCCGTTCAAAATCATATTGCTAACCGTATATACATCGCTCAATTCAGGAGAATTTTGAGAGTTGTAAATAAAATGAACAATAAATAACGAGCGATTTCGTAATGCTCTTTATCATGTCGATTACGTTAGTTTAAAATACGATGTTCCATTTCTTAAAAAACGTAAATGTATTTGAAACGCTTTTTTTCCCACAAGACAGTATAGAAAGGTACATAATAGAAGAAATATCTCTATCTAATGTACTACCGTTTACAAACGTCCATTACATATAAAACTGGCGTTACGTACAGAAGTTGATTACGTTTTTCAAGGTATTTTTTAATGATCGAAATTCAAACTTAGCGTCTGTAGAAAAAAATAATATTGATAATCATGAAGATGGCTTGTGTTTACGAATTTTTTTAGTACTTTGTTTGATTAGTTTGCAGTGTTCAGTTAATTTTACAGTAACCCTGTGTAATGAATATATATACGGGGGATATACCGGGTTAGTTTATATTTGAACATTTTCAATGATGGTGCTGAACAGTTCTGTAATATCATATAAGTTTCAATAATTATAATATATGGCAAAATAAAACAACAGTAGATCAAAATTTGCTCAACCCATGAAGTCACATGTCAAAGAGAAGATGAATTAAAAAAGGAGGTCTCGGCATAAAATTGGCCATCCATTTTTTTTATTGTGTAAATTACATTTTACGATATTTTTTCATTAATCAATTACTGCTTTTAAAACAATTAACCAAAATATAATTTAAAAGTTTTTTTTTTCTTTGCTGTCACATTTGAAACAAGAATGTGCATATATACATGCTTATATAGAGAGTGCTTTTTGATATGTGATTCAATTATCCGGACGATTCATTTATCCGGACGATTTCGTTGGGGACAGAGGCGTCCGGATAAACGAGGCGCCACTGTACATGTACTTGTACATAAAAGTCATGTAAGGGGACTCTCAAACTCACTTATATGTTTTCTGAAACTTGAAAAATCAGCAGTTGAACCACAGATTGTAATATCATGAAATAAAAGTATTTTAGGTGAGAAATTTCTTTCTAAAAACTTGTTTTGGTAATGTGTTTTTTAAATATACCAAATATTTTTAGGACTGATACTTCTGGCTAACCATTCTATATATTTCTAGTACCGGAGAGATCGACTTTGGAATCACTCTATGGTATAAGCTTGATATTTCAGCCTCTGGAAAGTTCCTGTCTAGTAATGTTTGTCTAATCTAGTAAAGAGTTAAGGTGTTGGTTAATATTTTAAACATATTTCATGTTCTTCAGACTTTTCTTCAAGGTATTCCTTGTGTAGTTTTCCTTTTGTTCCTTGTAATTCATTTCGTAAAAATAAAGTAAGCATACATTTGAATAAATGTTGATATGATAAAATACTATTTGTTTATTCTCAGCAAACAGGGATCAAAGTGGATGTGTCCATTGCTCTCTTTGATTTACCTTTTTTTCTTTCTTCCTGTTATAATTTTGTGTAACCAAAATGTTTGGCTGAATGACTTATTGACTGTATGTTGTTTTACGTCCCATTCGAGATTTTCGACCTTTCTCATCAGGTCCTAGGTTGTGGAAAGGCAGAGAATTAAACTTTTGATCCTCATCAATAAGCGCTTCTGATGACAACCGTCTTAGGTCGAAACAGGTCAACAAATTAAGTAAGTTAAAACCAAGGCTTTTTAATAGACAGCTGATTTTTCAATAAAAATGTAACTCGTAAATTAATTGACCTTGTCATTGGTCACTGTTAAAAAAAATTATTGTACATAAAAGTACTTTGAAGTAGATATTAATAGATGCTTGAGTTTCTGATTGACAATATCTATGTAGTATTTGGAGATAAGGTCTTCAATCCATCTGTCAGAATTCCCAATTGGTACCAATTGCACCCTGTTATTAGCAGACATATTTTTGTATTCATATGAAGCAGAATTTATTCAAACCCTACACATGAGAAGAAAAAGAAGATACTGGCCTTGACCTCCTCCAACTCGGCATATAAATATATCGACGACGCATTATCAATTAACAATAGTTACTTCCTTTCATATGTCGACTCGATATATATATACAATTGAACTTTAAATAAAAGATACTATAACGTCTGACACATCTGTTTCATATTTGTTTATTTAACTACAAAAAGGCATTAATGGTAACCTAACAACAAAACATCATCACCAACTTCCCTTTCTTATGTAGCAATATACCCTTACCACCTGCATATGTGGTTTATATCTCCCATTTGATTCGATAGGCAAGAGATTGCTAAACGAAGGAGCAATTTCTAAAAGGAGGCATGCTAGTGACAAAGAAGTTGATGAAACAAGGAGCTAAACAGTCTCGTTTAAAGTCATCATTTCGAAAGTTCTATGGTCGATACAATGACCTTGTCAGCAAATACAACTTACCAATATGTTAAATGCTAACTGGCGTTTTTCAGACTAATTGTTACACAATCATTTAAACACTGAATTGTCTACTGATTTTTCATTTGCATGATCTTGACAATGAGCACACGGTGGGCGTGACTGGTTGGCTGCTCTCAATTGTATTGTTTCAATGGACTTTCAAGCTTGATTATTGTTTGTTATCTCCATATTTCATCTACCCGTGTATTCTCACGATGATTTGGTGATTTGTTCATGTCTTTAAGTTTATCTTTTAGTAATTGAAATATAACATTCTTTCTTGCAATTTGGAAAGACATTTCAGAAAAGAGGTGGAACATAAGTTTACGAACTATGCATATTCAACACATGCAAGAAGGACAAAAAAGAAAAAAAATGAGTATCGAAAGTCATTCAACAATGCTTCGACGAATAAAGATTTATAGCAAAAGATAAAGGACTTACGGAAGTCTCGTAAAAATGTAAGACGAGTCTAAGTTGACAAAAAAAAAATGTTGGTTTTTTTTTCATTTGCAAATCTCAGATCCCCCAAAGATGGTATTTTACGCGGTTCTAAGATTTCCTCGTAGCTAGTGGTACGTCAAACCTCGTTATCTCGAAATCGATGCGACCGAGAAAATACTGAGAGATATATATATATATATCGTACACACAATAAGTGCCTTTATGAGAAACCTTTCAAAAATTCATGAGAAATTCATTCATCAGAGATAGCAGAACGCACGTCACATATATCCATATGTTTTTGTTATCTTCAGCAACAGCGTCCTTAGATCATTAATTAGCTGATACAGATGAATCGTGTTGAGTAATCGCCTTGTTCATTAGTTTTTATATTTGCCAAAGCGATAGGAAAACAGATCATTAGTATTTGAGCTCGCTGAATAACATTTCTATAAAGCATGAAGATTTTATTATTTAGTGGTAGCTTTGTTTGGTTATTTTGGATCTTTTTTGTTCCCTATTTAGTGGACAGTGTTTCTCTTGACAATCCTGATTCGTCCCCTGTTACAAATAAAGTGTCTGGTGTTTTACGGGATATTCTGAATCGAGACACTTTGGTACGGTTGTCAATGGTTCAGAAAATTCAAACATTAGCAATGGATGCGATAGATACTAGAAACAACACCAAAAATGTAATGGAGATGCTTAAAAGTGTGACAAAAGAATTCCAAAATATGAAAACTTGGCAAAGGAAAATTGAAGAGGAGATTTCGAATTTTGAAAAGAAATTACGAAACGAATTTACTAAGATGTGTGAGCAACAAAATTCCACAAGTCAGGTGAAAAATAATTCTTCACCAACATTTTCAGGTAACTACTTGACCTGTCCAGCAATACACTTCATAATAACATTGACATCGCAGTTTCTTTTTCTAAAACTTAATTATTCAGTATTCAGGTTAAACAATCACTTGAATTGTTTTTTCTTCAAAAATGTTCATTAAATTCTATATTGACGAGAATGCATTTACTTTATAGATAATATTCATATGTATTTAATAGGAATATGCAATTAACATAAAGAACATATTCTACAAAAAATGGATCTAAAGCTTTTCAATTGAATGATAGCATCATTTTTTTTTCATAACTTCAGACCCTGAACTGTGCTACTACCCCACAGGCACGTTGCACGAACGGTACACGCTCGCTACACGGTTTGCACGAAACGCTGCACGGGTTACACGAAACGCTTTGCACAAAAGGGTTTACACGAAAGCCTACACGACACGTTTGTACACGTTTCTCACACGCTTTGTACACGATTCTCGCACGCTTTGGCCTCGATCTGGATTTTCTATTCGGAATCTCTCGGACTTTATTTAAATTTCATGTATTACGGATTAATCAAAGATTAGTTAAGAATTGCAATCATTCAGATTAAGATTAAAACTTGCTACATCAGTACTATATTCACAGATAAAATACTCAATGTTCGATTGTAATTAATTAATAGTTGTCGTTGAGTATGTGACCCGCCCGGTGTAATGTCTATCATCGTCTATGTACAAACCTTTTTCACTAGACTGTAAATTACGCACTGAAAACAAAAATTATATCTGTAATTCATAATCTTTTACAGCATTCTATGTTTTTACAATAATTTTATTATAGTTTGATATTAAAAATTCGTTTCATTACTGACAAATTAACTCAGTTATTGGTTTGAAAAAAAAAAAAATATTGATCAAATTGCGTATACGATTTCTGTCAACGGATTGATTTTCTTTTCCTTTCTTTTTTTAATTATTGATTGACTTATTCATTTTTTGATTTAGAAAATAAATAATTTCATTTGATTAAATTAGGTTCTGTTTATAATTTGCAAAGGTAATATGTACACTGCATCACACAAGAACATTGTGCAGGGAAGGGGGGGGGGGGGGTTAGATTACCGAGATCTTACTTCTGTACATGGCTAAACATAACGGGCACTTGTTTTAGTAAGTATACCATTGGGAAAAAAATTATTATAGAAACAAATGCCCGTTCTAAGAAAAAAAAGGCATCCATATCTCCAGCGGGACCAGATATAAATGCAATTCATTAGTTGCACTTTATTCAGAATGGTAAATATATCGTTTCATTACAGAATTAAACTTTGATTTATCATTAAAATTTAATAGTGTAGAGAAGTCGGGGGTAGGTATTATAATTGTTTAGTTCTCTTGTGAGGCATTGTGTTTATCAAATAAAAACAATGTTCCCATCTCCTTGTAAAATGCTTGATACCAAACCCCGTCCAGATAAAAAAAAATGTAATCAACAGATCAATAGTCCCGGCTCTTAACAATACATTCAATACACATGTATACATGACCAATGAAAACTAAAAATTATGCTCTAGAACTGCGTGATTAATAAAACAACTAATATATAATTATTCAGGATTTTTTTTTTTTGTTGTTGTTGTTGTTGTTGTTGTTGTTGTTGTAATTTTTTATTCACGAATACACTGGCAAATTAATTCACTGTTTACAGACAATCAGATAATTTAAGAAATAAAATCCACGGGTATTTATTTGTGCGCATTAAATACTAACAAAACAATTTAATTTCACGAACTAAAATCCAATTGTCGGTTGTTATCTTAGCCATGATTGACAAGGGATAATACACGTAGCAGAACAAGTTTTAAGTTCCCAGCACGCGGAGCCCGTGATCGCTGTTGTAAATGACCTTGATCACAGTCGTAATAAGAGTGTTGGAAGTGTAAAGAAGATTCCGGTATATTTTTAAGGGGTGCATCGGGCGCATCCCGAAAAAAAGCAATAATTTTCTTTAAAAAAAATTATCTATTAAAACTTCTTAATAACAAAAACTGAAAGTTTGTTTTTCATTTGAACCCCCCCCCCCCGGAAATATTTAAACCTGTATTTGCCGATGCATATGAAGTATGATTAATTTATATGACAATAATTAATCAACCAATTTTATGCATAAAAAGACTATAAATGACTCATCGTTTCAAAATTATTTGTATCACAATCTTGTAATGTAAGAAAATTATGTTCGTTTATAAAGAAAAAAATTAATTGTGCTCCCTGGCCTAGAATTCCCATACTTAACATTTATTACTAAATTTTGTATTTTATTTTTCACACCTGCCTTATCTATCTATTATTTTGTATAAATCACCCATATGTTCTTGTAATCTCTATATACCATAATTGTAAAATGGTGAAGAGATTCAAATAAATGAATGAATGGGATTCCTGATGAATTTTCTTTAGAAAAAAAATTTCAGTATTGCTCCCTTTAAAAAATGCATTGAATCAAATACCTTAAAGTTGATTTGCGTATAATTAATTACTTTGAACACATTTTCTTTCCATCTTTATTTAAATAAAAAAAGGAAAATCAAATAAATATGTAATACGTTACCGAGTAATTTTATTTTGTTGTTTCCGTATATTTTTTTTCTCTTAAAATACCACCGGTCTGATAGATCCGAATAATATTAGTAACAAACAACACAGAATGACATGTTGATTCATTAATAGCCATATTTAAAATAAAATGACTTCCGAATGACTCACACGATTCTTGCACGAAAGTCGCACGTTTCTCACACGCTTCTCGTACGTTCGTTATACGGTTTGCACGAAACGCTTTGGAGCTTACAAGAAATGCTGCACGGTTTACAAGAAAAGAAAAGCGCACGAAAGTCACACGCTTTTTTGGGGTAGTAGCACGTTTCAGGGTCTATAGGACTTTAATACTGTAGATCCTAAATATGAATTAATTATCGTGAGAAGCTCCACTTGCGAAATAACATTACATGTAGTCGCCTTTATTTTAATGTTATTATATAAGAAATACATGTTTAACCTCTAAATCAACAGTCCTATCACGAATCCACACTCTGGTGACTTGACGTCTGTGTGTCATTTTGCTATATAAAGTAAACGTACTCGCGTAAAATAAGGAAACCACAGTATTTACATTTTTCAGCAATTTATCTTTCTACTAAGCGTATTCTTGTGTTATGATGCAAAAATAATTAGCATTCAAATGATATTGCAGAACAGACTATATCAAATTATATCTATTTTTCAAATTTATTCCTTTCTAGTTTGTTTGTTGTTGTTGTTGTTTTGTTTTTAGATACATGATTCGTTGACTTCATAATGGAAAAATAATTAAAAAAAAAAAAAACAACACAGATACATGAAAAAATGTGATTGAATTCAAGTGAAACTTTAAGTAAACGAGTTCAACAAATTTAATGTATTACGAAGGGGTATTTAACGATTTTGAATCATTTAGAACCATTTACATATGTATTGCTTAATAACGATGAAACTAAAAATATCTATATAGAAAGTCGGCCATTTTGTAAGTGAAACATTACTGAAGAGTTATCTGTCCTAGATGAAAACAAGAAAATTTATTTTTTCTCAAAATGCAAGTGGTGAATTATCCATTGTATATCTTACATTTTCATTTTAAACTTTAATAAAAAGGTAGTTAATGTAAATTTTAACCACCATTTTTTTGAAATACAAAATGTTCATGAAACAATGCTTAAGCTAGTATAAAGACTTCAATTTAAAATTCAAGGTGCAAATATTCATACAATAATCAACTTTTTAAAAAAATCCTTTGGTGGTCCATTTTTATTTGATAACACATTCAAAACGAGACCATAATTACAAAAATTGCCCTATTCAAACATTAGGTATAAAATTATTATGATCATTACACATCTAAATTTACTCATTCATCACTTACGACCGATCTAAAACCAGAATAAACAACTGAAAAAGATGCATGTATGATTTCGGCAATAATAATTCTACAAATTGCCAAAAACTACAATAAAAGATGCGGATAAAATATCTGTTATCTTAGGATACTTTGAGATACAGGGGTTCCATACAAGCAGAGGTTTTTAATGTTTAATTGTATGATATCACACTGAAAAGTGCTCTCATTCCGCTAAATCATGCCTGTTAATTTTTTAATACAGAAAAACAACCATGTTTCTGCAATCATTTCAAACTACATACACTAGAATCGCAAACTCGCCACTCATGATCAGTATTTTCATCTGCAAATACAACCCCTGCCTCATTGACAAATCTAAATTACCTTCTTGTCTACTGTTGTTGAATTTGGCGATGTTTTATTTCAACACATTCCATTGAATGGCCCTCTTGAGCGCAAGCTAATTTCCCGAAGCCGATTGCACACCTTTTTTTACACTGATATAGGTGTTGGTAATTACAGATGTGGTCAGAGGGGTTGCAACAGCGATAGTGACCCTGTCTTTCAAACGATATCAAGCAAAATGTCTAGCAATAGAGTGGGGGGGGGGGGGGTCAGTCAATACGAAGATTTATCAACCCTCGAATAAAATATTCACCTCGCCCTTCGAGCTTATTGAATATTGTACTCTAACGGAGGCTAGATTCTTCTATCGACCCCAAAACTGCAATAATATCATATTTTTTCTATATGTATATATAAAGATATATTGCAATACAATGAAATATATATTTAATGCAGGTGGCGGTGCTCTTTTTGTTCAGTGGGGAAAACCAAGGTGTCCAGACAACACATCTCAACTGGTATATTCGGGTAAGAGAAATATTGCTCACTTGCAAGTACACAAATGGCTTGTATAGAAAGCCACCAAGAAATATATTTCTATTATTTTGAGGAAAGAATTAAAAGATTGTCTAAATATAATTTGAATGAAAAGATTAATACTGTATTTCAAAGTAACAAGTCCAAAGATAAACGCTTCATTAATCCAACGTTTAAGGTTTTCTTGGAGGATCAGAATACAATGCAAAGGGAGCAGCTGTTACCAATGTTTGTCTTTCTCCCGATCCACTATTTGGAAACTGGTCTTCAGAAGTCAGTATCATTAATCAGATGTATGGATCTGAACTGGATATCGATGTAGCTGGACCCGGGACATCAACCCAGGACAACACGTGCGCAGTGTGCAAAAGTAAGATCCACTCCACCGTTGTTATGATCCCAGGCAGAAACGAATGTTATCCAGGGTGGAAGAAACAATATGGCGGATATCTTATGTCTAGTCCCATAGGGTATTCGCCTAAGGAAATCATCTGTTTAAATGAACATCCCGAATTTGTTGTAGGAGGCGGAAATGATAATAATGGAAATCTTTTATACCCAATCAAAACCGTCTGTGGTTCGCTTCAGTGTCCACCCTACGTTAATGGAAAGTTATTAACCTGTGTTGTATGCTCGCAGTGATGAATAGAAAATAAAATTCCACATCTTGTGATGTGTAATGGCTAACAGGTGTTGTCAAACCAATTTTTAAAAACACAGGTGACCGAACAAATATAAAAACTATTGTCAGATAACACTTTATAGTTGTCATGGTCAGTTTTTTTTTTTTTTACCTCTTTGTTAACGTTTGGAATGGTATGTAGATTACTTAAAGTCAAACTTGATTCAGAAACGGGTATTCTACTATAGACAATATAGTGGCCTTGCATATTCTGCCAAATATGGTAATAATTTCCAAAAAGACACTAAGTCATATTTAAATGAAAACATCCTTAGGTATACTAGATTCAAGTTTGTTCGGAGATAGTGTGGGACAACAATAGTGATCAAAGTTTTACCTAATTTACACCAGATTAGGGAAAAGCTTTACCTAATTTACATCAGATTAAGGAAAAGTTTTACCTTATTTACATCAGATTAGGGAAAAGTTGTACCTAATTTACATCAAATTAAGGAAAAGTTTTACATAATTTACATCAGATTAGGGAAAAATTTTACCTAGTTTACATCAGATTAGGGAAAAATCTGATGATGAGAACAGCAAAGTCATATATAAAGACTAAGCTGAGAGTAGTGGACCATGGGTCTTGTTCTCAGAAAGTCGGAAAAAGCATTTGTGAAAAAAAAAAAAAATATTTGAAGACCAAATCTTAACAAGTTTTCAGAATTATTTTCAACTTCTGACTTCAATGTATTAATTAAATATTGTATAGTTTCCTATATAATGTATAGGAACAAGTCTGTCCTTCCTGTGATAACTTCTGTCTACTTGATTCATATGTATTTCCGCCGTTTCCACATGTACCCCCTGTATATTGTCTTTGTAAATGTACTGTAGAGAGATGTATAGAGAATAAAATCATTTAACCTGATATGTATCTGATATTTTTTGTTCATTCTTAATCTCACTTGAAAGTATCAGCTTAATGTACTATGTATAACTTTTCTATAAATAGTTGGAATAAATATACAATTATTACAAAGCGACCAAAAATTGAGAATGAACTGTGCAATAAAAAACCGGTCAAATATTATCTAATTTCTGTTTTAGAACACGAGAAATAAGTGAACTATCATGCTAAACGACGCATCTATTTACAAATTTCAATACAAATTTTGCAAATAAGCTCCAAAACACCTGCACCAGAATTCACCTCTGATATTACCCTAGATATGATATGATGTCCGTAAACTATATTTAGATTTCACTAGCATTGGTATAATCATAAATTAAATTTAAAGTCTACTTTTGTATTCGATAAACAGCTGTGAAATAACAAAAAGGGGAGTACGATGGTGGTTACTGTTGGTTGATCTAAGTTACTGGCAATCTTTAATGAAAATAACAAAAATCAATTAATCATTTGACAAGATGTCTCATTCGTGAAGCATTCAATCAAAATCTAGGTTTAAGAAGAAATAAATGTTGATAACAATTCAAAAAATAACAAAATGTACCCATTTTTTGGATAGCCTCGATGTCAATATTGATTGAAATTTCTAGAACGTGTTACTGAAGTTCCATGAAAGGGACAAGTATCTTGGACATTTAAACCCTAGAAACTTGGAAAGACACCTCAACTAATGTATATTAGATACACTGCTCTTCCAGACATTGCTTTGATACATATAATATTTGTCCGCTGCCAAAAAAATGCAACCCACCTTTAATATTTAAATTATTATGCCTGCTATAAGAAATTGACCTCGATATTTTTGACTGATAGATTCTAATACGTATGTTAGTTTCTATCAATATCCTGTGTGACAATTTTCTCAGCTGAATCTTTGCATTTCAGTTTCTTCTCAAATGCTCAAATTACAGATCATAATAAACAACTTTATTATATTTAAATATGTTCACAACTTTCATGTTTTTGATAACATGTTTAACGAGTGTTCAATTAGATTTCAATTGTCATTCAAAATCTCTGTTATTGTCAAGATTTTTTATGCCGCTTTTCAGCAATATTTTTTTAGATTCTTGACAATTTTTCACCAGTCCTGCATATTATTTTTAAAGTTCGATGAATTTTAGAAGAGCATGATGCTAATTAAAATTCTCATAAACATGCATAAGACATTTGGTATATGATATAAAGCGTTTAGAAAGTACGCTGACCGCTTAAAAATGCGTTGATCAAGTGTAAAGACGAATAATGACCCACGTAGAATAATTAAGGGGGGTCATTTTTCGACGTCAAAACTGACTCCCGGTCATTATTCGATGTCAAAAAATGACACTTTTGCCTGTAGAAAATTGGCAATATTTTAAAAATCTGCAAACCTAGGTGAAGAAAGATGACCCTTGTAGAAAAATAACCTTTTGTAGATTTTATTAGTGGTAACTTTTTCTTTTTGGTTAAAAGAATTAAGAATTATACCCCGAGTACCCAAACTCCGTCACCATAAGCGGAAAACACCCCGCGTTACTCTCCAAAAATTTTTTTAATTGCATCTTGTTTGCTACACTTAGTAATGAACTCAAATATTGTTTTAGTACTATTAACAAAAATGTAGTCAATGGGCTTAATATGTATAACACAACTCAATAGAATGTGTACCACACCCGTGTTCATAACGCCTAATGAACCCTTACTCCGTCCAGGACCCTCTACAACGTGCCAACGTATTTAATACAATTTTCCCCAGTTTATTTTTTTGTCCCTTTTTATTAAATTTTAAAACATGAAAAGTAGTTTTTAAGATTTACAGTAGTATTAAATTGTATTTTAAGAAAACGATCAACTATAGAAAAATAACGTTAATTTAACGTATTTTATATGTATTAATGTCGCGCTAACGCCATCTCAAACATGTCGTGCATTAGGGCAAATGCAGAAAAAAATTTTTTTTAGCCGTATTCAACATGATTTGTCATATTAAACCTTTGATATAGAACCTTCATAAAAATGACAGATATGTGAAAAATGAGCATTGTTGCGCATATGTCGGAGATATCAATGGAATAGCGCATGAAGGAAAAGGTGCTTACTGATTTCACGTAAAGTATGATAGATACAATATATTAAGTGTAATTGTTATTTGTTTTTTATGCATTCTTGAACTTGTCTGTTAAATTATCACAGCATTTGATTGCAGATTTTCTGCATGAAAAATTTAACGTCACAATCGCATTCGTTTACAAACAGCGCGGAGTTAGTGACGGAGTTAGGGGTTTTGGCGATAAAGCAAGAGGCCTTTGGAATAGACTGCTCATCTCAGGCAAACTGAGAATACAGTGATGATATATATGTTGGTCTCATTAAATCTTTCGAATAAAATGATCTGTGTTTTATGATAAATGTACAACATTTATTGACTTCAATCTTGTCTTTGTGGAAATGCATCCATATTGATTTGACAAACGTATCATTGTTTCAGAGGCAAATAAAAGTTGAGATGCCAGCAATTTTAACAAACTACAAGTCAAATACCATGAAATCCCAAAAAGGAATGGAGTCAATGAATATGATATCAGATATCCATATCTCGTCCGCGTGCACTTGATTTCATATGTGTGCCTTACACATGTACCATCTTTGACTTTCTAAGCGCTTTCCATTATCAGAGGAATGATAAGTCTTGTCCAAAGGAGACACATCAAATATGATCGAACAAATGTATATAACTCGCGAAGTTGCCAAAACAACTATCCGTTTATTCCGAACATTCCGAACAAAAACAATTTTTTTTTTAAAAAGAGTAATATTTGTTTATCCCAATGAAGATTTATTTGTCCACACAAATACGTTGTTAATCTGAAAAGAACAAACTTTTTTAGAACTATTAACATTTTTGTCAGAACAGATATCTAATTCGTTCAAACAATTATATATTCTCTGGACTTATACATTACTTTTACATTATATTCCGTACTTATAAAAGCTAGAACTTCATGGAATTTTGTGAATTTATTAAAGCTAGAAAAATTCCTAAATTACAAAATGTTTTTGCTAACAAGGTCATTATAATAACCGAGAAAATTTCCAGTTGCCAACTTTGATTGAGACTGTTAAAGGACCTTTAACATCAACTTATTTGTCAGTATCCTGGTTCTTTTAAAAATTGATCGTTTAGTTGGGAGACATGAACACCATGTGCAGTGAGAGTAGAATTTTCTTCATAACATGTAAGAAGTTTGCAATGGAAAAGCCGATTCGAAAGTCGTCCTATTTGTCAGAAAGTTTAATTAATAGTTGGCCAAATATATTCAAATATGAATCATATGATGAAGAAAGATTAAGACTACAATGTCCATGGTCACGTGACGACAGATTTTCTACCACCTGAAAGAAAAAATAGAACTGTTAGTAAGTTCATTCGTTAAGTGAAAACATGTGTCCAACCGTTTCCATGGCAATGGTCGCCATTATAATGTAAATGGCATAACTAGTTTTGGTGATAATTATTTCTGTGAAATTGCATAAAGATTAAACTTATTGGTCGTCATTTCTGAAAAGTTTCATTAAGATTGTCCAAGTCATTTCCGTGAAAATGCTTGCACAAAATAATATGTCTAGCGATAACAACATGTCGTCCTGAAGTTTTGATAACAATATTTAGGCTCACTGATACAGTACCAACCAGACCCAATCTGACAGAAAGCAGTCCAAGAGCAGTCCCAGGGACTGCTTTGTGGGACTGCTTAGCAGTCCCACAGCTGTCTCAGAGCATACCTATAACTGTTTCCATAGCAGTCCTACAGCGATGCCAAAGCAATAAAACAATGCTCCCAGAAAGCAGTCCCAAAAGTCAGTAAGCACGGTTAATAAATTCAATAGTCGGAGCTTAGTTCTTTTGAGATTACGCACCGCATCAACAAATAATGAATGTATAATAGAGACAGTTGGTATCAATGATGCACTCTTTTGGAGAAAAATTATATAAATCTTGTACATGTGTCACCGAATATTCAAATTTCTTATGTGACAACTATTTCTGTAAATTCCGATCTTTATATTCATTTCCTTTTTTTCTACTTTCCAAAAAAGAATGAAAAAGTGTTTACTTTCAATAATATGAATGAAGTCTATCAAAATTTTACATGCATTTACCTAAAATTGTTAGATAAACATATACCAACAAAGCAAATTACAATACGTCCATCAGATAAACCATATATTACCACAGAAATTCATAGGAAAATGCGGCAAAGAAAAAGAATACATAATATAAACTAGTAGACTAATTGTTCTCGAACAATTAGAGGTCTTTCCACCTTCTTTAACTTTCACATATTTTTCATATTTAACTCTCTACTGTTTATTTTTTACCAAAGAAACCAGAAATGGCTTGAGAGATGGAAAAAATGAAAATTTTAAAAATTTTGAGATGACCTTGACCTTTGACCTTGACATAA